GTATAAGCTGGTTGAGTGATATACTGGGTGTGGAATGCATGCTGGTTTATGCAATATAAGTAACAGATAATAATTTTTATTCTTCCATGTAATACTACGTGCCACTTCTTCTTCACAGATATTACAACCGTCCACTGCCTCCTCTCTTCATAGATGGCAAGCTGGACATATGTATTATTTGCAGCAAAAACATTACCTTCTCATATATTCCTTGCCAGTTAACAAATCTGAAATTGTCAGTTTATGGGTACTACAGCATTGTCAAAGAAATGTTGGCTTTACTTTTCTGTTCAGCTTCCATAAAAACTGGTGAAGAGAATGGTGGTTGAGAGTTGACACAAGATTCCCAAATGCTCATCACTGGTGGAGGTTTGTCTTTGGGCAATTTCAAGAACAGAACTGTCCAGTAGATCCCTCTTGACACACTGTGTCTATGCAGATCTGTGGATTGCTGTACTTCTGTAACACAGATATACTGAAAGGAAAATTTAGGTTAAACAAACATCCAGACAACATACAGTCCCCTTTCCTGGCAACTCTGAAAAGCCAGTAACAGCGCAATAAAAATATGTATTTCTGATCAAATACTACCTGGTGAACCAGCAATGTTAAAGGCTATGGACCTGTGATTGAAGTGTGAAAACATGCTTCAAGCCATCCTAGAAGCAGACAATCAAACTACTAGCGGTTTAAAAAAATAAATTAAAACCACTGAGAAAAACATACCAGAGAAGACACAATCAATATACACCTTCTCCCCTTTTGCTTTATGTCTTCCACAGATATAGAAACTGGACACAACCACTTTAAAATCATATTTGTACTTACCATCTTTATAAGCAAACCAGCAAAAACCCAAGAGTACAGTTACAGGAAAACATAAGATTACCTGGCATGTTTTTCAACAGTTAACGTAGATCCAGAGTGCATCAATAGGTAGTTTCTTCTGTATCTCTAAGCACGGAGCTGGGAGAGGCCCAACTCTACAGCTAAATGCAGCAGCAAAGCTGAAACTAAGCACAGACCTTTGAAGAACAGAAATGGGGCCCAAAGGTTTGGTATTGTTACTCCCTTGTTCAGCAACAAAAACATTCTCCTTTCAACGACAGTTCACTTACATCAGCTGCCTGTAGCAGCAGTACAAGATATAACATTTTTATGATTATTTAACATTTTCAGTTAATGCCAAATGGGGCAGCAGAAGACAGACAAGTTGTTGGTGACTAGGAGGGCATTTAAAATTTGGAAAATTGGAATTTTTTTGAAAAATTCTTTATGACGGAAAGGAAGAGGAAGGGACACATCCCAAACCAACACTTTTGTGACTTCACTTCAGAGAATTCCCCTACCAAAAGTTTAAGTCTTCAGATTTCCTGGAGGTTTAACTACAGAGAAAGAGCCAAAGACAACAAAGATACTACACACCTAATCCTGCTCAGATGTATGTTACAACATCGGGGGTTTTTTTTAAATAGCTTCTTCAGTTACAAGTTGCACACCTTCATTTGTACTGGGAGATGTTTGAAATTGTGAATATTAGCGTAAATGTTTACCCCAATAAACATCAAGCATTAATTTCTCCATCATGATACAACAGGATCCACACTAAAGGTGAGCTAACCTTTCACTGAAACAGAAAGCAACTTTCAAAGCCTTTTTGAGCAGCAGTGAGCACACTGAACGCCGACGCACTCAACAGTTACTATGTGAATTAATTTTTAACATATCAATCTTCTTTTCAGGCTATGGTGAGATTTGCATTGCCAGCATGCTGAACCTCAGATACAGTTTTAAGTACCAATGATGCCGCACTAAAAAAGCGTGCTGAAGACTTCTGAACTCTCAGTTGCATTACCTCAGAAAACAGCAATAATGAACGCCAAGCAGAAATGAGACATCCCTGTCTAAAAGCTGTCTTAGAGCATCTAATATCAACATTGCTTAAGATACAAACACTTTGTGCAATTATGCCCTCTTCCATTAACGGAATGCCTGAAAAAGTACCCTCAGATTCAGCAGCACTGGTATCAGCAGAAAGGTCTAAAGGAGATATGCCACCAGCCACCTCCAGAGCTTAGATATTCACCTTTCATATGGGCTAAGACGAGTAGGAATAGAGGGACAAGTTACACAACAGTTATCAAAGCAGCCCACTCTCAAAGGAGGAATTTCCCCCCCCCTTCCGATTCTCATGAAAAACTCGGCCACGATGGAGGTCTCCTTTACTCGATGGTACCTTTGAATTCATTTTACCTGGACTGAAGGCATCTGAACTACACAACACCAGTGCAAAACATCTATGCTTCCATTAGGAAGTTAGTGTTGCATCTAAAGAGAATTCACATTGCTACTTATCTAGGCATTAAGAAACATGCTCATAATTCAGCAAAGCCTAATAAAGTCATTTAATAAATGGAGTAACAGTAACTTACTCATGTGCCCAAGGCCACAGAAGTGCTAGAACTGAAGCCAGTACTTTCAAATCTCCTGGCTCTCAGACTGGTCCATGCTTATCTTCACTTAATTATGAATTTAGAAAAATATTACTTGCCTTTAAGCTCCCATCGAGGTGCAACAAAAAGTAGATCCACAGAGACCTATTCTTCTTGCTGTCTGAGTAGTGTGTGGAATCAGGTCAGTTGTATTGATATACAGTGATGGAGCATAAGGCAAGTAAGTATCTTTGAAGGATACTAAAAATACATATATTCCTCAAATGCAAAAGGACTTCTTCAGTTGTCTTAATTCATGATTTCAAAATAAAGAGAAGCACATCATATTCACGTATGAGTCTTTGAATAGCTTTGTTAGTAGAGAACACAGCCAACTTTCTTACCCATTTACTAGTGAAAACAATTGCTATGAAATTAGTTTTCTAGCACCATGAAAAATCTCAGTAATTTCAAAGCATTCCTACTCTAGACAAGATGGGATCTGCATCAGTATTTGCCATTGTGACATCAACTAGTTTTTCCACCCCATGCCTCAATTTGTGAAGATCAGAAATTACTAGGCATGACACACACTGCCACCTCGTGTTATGGTTTAGAACTCAAAAAGCCTGAGAAGTTGGATTTCATACAAACATCCAGCTTCAGCTGTTTTAACAGCATTTTTTTTTCCCCACAGCCACTGTTCCACAGGATAAGCTTCTCCACTTTTACATAACTAAGACCTAACTCAGGCTGCAATATACGCAAGCCTCCATGATCCCAAGAAACAGTTCATTCTTCTCCGCTGCCTCAGGTACTTTCAAACAGTACACAGTTTTGCAGAGACAGTCAGTGTTAAGTGGCTTAGACATTACCTTTTAGGTTTGAGATGCTGTTCCTCCAGTACAAGCAAATAAGTAAATATGCTACAATACCGCATTAACAAGAAGGTGAGGCTAAGCTATTAATCCCTTCCTCGACTTGAATCTGGAGTAACAGAAGTTGCCCTCTTCACATCCCTGGACTACACTTTGAGAACAGGTATTGTGTTATTCCCTCCTCTACAAGAGGACCCCGAGGGCTTATTTACCTACAATGGCTGGGTTTAAGCTGAGCAGCTACATTCTGTACCAGAGGCACACACTGAGACAGCAGCTCCAGGACCGACCAGAGAGATGTGAAGCTGCAGATATCTCAGTGGTCTGTAGCCAACCCAATATTCCTGCTACATCTGGGCCTCACAGGAGGCATGGAAGCAATCATCCATTAAACCTTCTCAAGTCCAAAAGCGGAGTGTAATTGCACTGTGTCTTGCAAAGCAGTCCCAGGCCCAGTGGGGGTATCACAGAAAAATACGTTAACAAGTAGAAGAAAGAAAAACTTGGAATGGTTCTGGAAAAGGATGTTTGTGGGCTTTGAAGCTGTACTGTCCTTTTAAATATGTGCTGAGTGGAAGTCTTGTTTTCTTTAAAAAAATACATGGAAGATTGCCTTATAATTTGTGTAAGTATGGCCATTTGGAGGTAAAATGAAAGCCTCTGTTCTCTCTATTCTGCATAAATAGCACAGTATCAGAAAAACTTCTGCAAGTGCAATATCTTCACACAGATCAAAGTCCTCAATTACCAGCTTTCTTCCATGTTGGGCAATACTATGCAACCTGTAAAACATTACTATGTTGTTAACTATTTAGATGAGAGAGGCATTGAGCCTACCTACTTCAGTTTTGCACTGATATTTAATTGAAATTTTTTGTATTACCTTGTTTCTCACAAATTATCTACTGAAATAGAAGCATCACAGTAATTCACAGAATTCACAAACTTAATTCCAGCATTCAACAGGAGTCTTTCTTGTTCTAGTAGATAGCAGTTTTGTCCATCAGGTGAGCTGGCAAATAAGGAATATGCTAAAGTTAAGTAGCATTCACTGACCACTTCTGACACAAGATGAAATATAGCTTAGAAAACCATTATTTTTTGGTATATTCTTCCCTTCCCCCCCCCCAGCAGAAAAAAGCAAGACACAAGTCTTCTGCCATACTAATGTATTCCATCTTTCAAAAAGAAAGACATGATTTTAATATTACTTAACAATATGTTAAAAAAGTAGCCAGTTAGGCTTCAGTGTTAATACAATTATACACTCTATAACAGATTTGATAGTGTGAGTACTGTTCTTTTTTAAATTTTCTCATTCTGCAAGTATTCTTACACAAGCTGGCTACAAGTCAGGAAAAAAAAAATCAAAACACAAATAGCGTAACTTGTACACTCTTAAACAGTAGATTGTGAAAGAACTGAGGAAACACTTGTCCCATAAGAGCCTCTTTTTCACGAAGTCATGTCAGGAGAATTCTGGAGCAGATGAAAGCACAACTGACTAGGTCCATTCCTTTGTCAGGAGTCAGAATGACAAAACATAGCTAGATGCAGAAGTGACAGGAGCCACTGCAGATGATGCAAACTAGTATTTTGGCCTCCACCCAAGCCTAAGCAATTTAAAGTCTTTGAGGCCAAGGCATTCAGAAGGAGATGGAAGAGAGCTATTGTTCCAACTCCAACGGCATACAGCTACAATCAAGTAAGTCTCACTCACAGACTACAAGCACACAAGCTAACAAATTCAGGTAGAAAGTGGCAATTTTTCAGTCTGCAAGAATTATCAGGCCAAAGGGTTCAGTGCAGATCCACACAGCACTGGGGACAAGGCAAGGCAGCACTGGCTCAAGACCAGATAAGCTCTCAGCACAGCAGGACAGATAAGTGGAGCTGTCGTTCATTGATTCCTGCAGGGTTCCCTCCCCATATTGTGTCATTTCAATGTGCAGCAAAGGTGGTTTTTTTCAAGCTAAAATTGGACCAGTTGATGGAAAGTCTCTGCCTTGTCTGTCTGGCAGAATCCAAGCAGAATCTGAAAAGAAAAAAGTAATAAAGTGAAACCAACGTACTTAAAATCAAACCACAGCTGTTATCCCTCTTTTGAAGAGCAGCTCTCATTCAGAAAGACAAAACCTCTTAAAAACATCATACCTAAAAAAAAAAAGCCACTTGTCCATCACTCAAATACATCATAAACCAGTTACTTACACACCACCGCGTTATCGACAGTAAGTGAATGAAGTAGCAGAGAACACTGCATATTTAGCAGCACAGAAGCTAGCTGAACGTTAACTGGAAACAGAGCTGACACTGTTGCATTTACCAAAAACCTTGTAACAGTAAGAATGAGTGGTAGGGAATATGTAAAGCAGAAGTACCAGCGGCATGGGACACCGCTGCTTCTCTTCTGAAAACAGCAAAGTTATGTTTGAGACAAGCACCTTGGGAAAGGAGGTTTGTTTATAATACAGCAGGTTAGTAGCCCACATGCCTGGAAAAAGCACCTTTAGAACAAAAACCCACTTATTAGCTTTCACTGAACACAACTTATGGAAGAACTTTTGAAAAAGCTTGGCATGTGCAGGCATTTCAGTGACAGTTAATTCATGCTGAAAAACTTTATCGAGGCAAGGTCTAGCTTGTTTAGGCTAAAGGCTCCCTGACAGCACCAAGGCAGTGCATACCCCTATCTGGAAGGCTATCCAGCTTCTGTAACAACTGAAAGCCAAAAAAGGGGAGCAGAGAGACGGAGCGAAATAGAAAAGGTACAGAGGAAGCTTAGAAGAACTAGACTTCTTTTATTCTTTCTATGCTAAAGTTAGAAGTAGCTTGCAAAATTAATTCTGAAGTTAGGGTGTAATTAATATATCCATCTATTATGCCACTACAAAGCAAGAAGAAAAGATGACAAATTAACAAACTATCAGTAAAAAGCATGAATTCAGTAGGCCTGTACAGCTCACAACCATGGAGGGTTATTAAAACAAGCAATGTTGCTAGCCTTCTAAGTATTACATTGGAAACTATCAAATTATACAAAATATATGTATTAAAGGTGTCTTCACAGCATTAAGTAGCTGTTTTTCTCCCCTAGAATAGCACCTGTCAGAGCATTTCAGATACCTTTTCTAAACAGATATACATAAAAAAAATTGGACAGTTACACACACTTCCTAACAGATGACAGTAAAGGAGTAGATTACACCAATTACTGAATTGATTATAAAACGGTACAATTAAAAGTTTTAACTCTTCATTTGGAATCATGTTTAATAAATTTATCTCCAAATTTCAGCTGCACTTCTACATATCTAAGTGACTGCTTCATTCACCCTATTGAGAGTAGAGACTTGATGAAAAGAATTTTTCTATTTTCTTGTTCTTTACCTTTTAAAATACTCCACTTCTCGCTCTGTTTCATCCATTTCCACGCTGTCTAGATCAATGTCTTTGGGTAGAAACACATCATCTACAAAGGAAAAAGGTTGATACTACGTTAGATTCCATGGGGAGAGCGGAAGGAGAGAGGAAGAAGCTGCATTAAAGATGTTTTTGAAGAACTGTATGAACTTAGTCAACTATTGATTATTCATGTTTAGGCTGAATTAATACAAACTTGTAATTAGAAAGCCACTTCTTAAAAGCCCTGTTCTAGCACCTCTCTAAGCCTTTAAGGAGTTACACTGGGAACATGGAAGAAATGAATCAACCGTAAATTTACTGATCACATGGGTTGCAAAAGATGCCATAAAGCTGGAATAGACACGAGAATGGTCAAATTATACAAAGGGCTCAATGAATCAGATCGCTAATGAATAGCATTCAATTATCTGAAATTTGTTGGCCTTATTACTAAAAAGGCAGCTTTAGAAACATTTTAAAAATGGTATTTATAAAGAAAAATACTTCAAGAATTCTGGATTTGTAGAGCTGCTGTACTCCCTCTGGGACATGATCATCAGGCTGCATCTGCAAGAGTCTAAGTCATGCTGCCTACAATCTGGAGTTATTTTTTTAAAAAAACATTTTTAACATATTTTAATATAGCCTGAATTTATGCTTCAGCTATAGCAACAAAGTCTCTTCAAAGTCTGTTAGTATATTGTACTGTCTCAGTCTCTTTTGTACTTTTTTTTTTTTTTTAAAAAAAAAAAAGCTTCAAAAAGCGTAAATTTTTGTGGAAACCAATTTGAGCATTTTCCCATTGAAGTCTCTTTTCTTACTACATATATACTCCAAACTCCGATCCGGAGCAGCTTCAGAACACATTTCAAAAAGGGTGAGACAAAGAAACTAACTGAAAACATCTAGTACACACCAGGGATCTCTAGAATCCTTGAGATTACGAGCTTTGTTGTCCAACTTACTTCTGAAGAACCAGAAAACCCTATAAACACAGGGCTTCCCTAAACCCCTAGTTTTCTTCAGCCTCTTCATAACAAGGAGTTAAAATACTCTGCCAGAATAAATTTCTTTAAGAAACAGAGAACACACCAAAACCAATAACGTTCATTGCCTTAACACTTCATTTTAAAACTCAGTTAACCAAAAAAACCCCAACAAACTTTATCACCCTCTTTCAATGATTGCTCAATAACCCTAGTTCTGATTTTTTATCTTAGTTCTTTTTTTGTGTCTTCACTAGTTTGGTACATCAACCCTGGCCATTTAAGAAATGACAACTAAATGAAGAGTTGCACATTACAGTATCTTTCTTGTAGTTCAGAAGTCAGAACTACTCAAAGTGGCAATCCAGTCCAGACTCTTCAGAGAGCACCACAGTTATCTCTTTATATATTCAGAAACATGTCTCTGTGTTTCTTCACATTTAAACATTATTTTTCACAAATTGTAACTATACTTGATTTAAGCAGCAGAAAACAATGGTGAGGGACAAGGATGAAAAAAAGATGCAGGAAGCTACCTGCATTCTCCTACAGCAAACACGCTCCACCACTACCAGTCCCTTCAATAGTTTCTCCTTCAAATGTCTCCAGTCTTCATTTTCTGCTCCTAATTGTAGAGTTTTGTCTTACTCCAGTGACTGCAGTACGTTCTTCTCAGTGAAATAAAAAAAAACCAAACCCAAACACACCACAACACAGTACGCACAAGAACTAAGGTATCAGAGAAAAGAGTTCAATGCTGTATCACTGCTTGATTAACGCAGAACAGAAACACTGAACATAAAAAGAGTTTAAAAGAAAGACTGTCAGGCTGACTCAACGCAACCACGAAACCACAAAAACAAAGCTGGGCTCCACACCTAGCTCTTACAACAACCAGGAATTTGGTTTACATTTTTGTAACAAAGCTTAATAAACATAAGTATTCTGAAACACTGGCAGAGACCACCTATGGACTAAGGTCTTGTGTCTTGATGGGCTTACAAGACAGAACAGCAGCCAGAACTGCAATATCAAACCATTCTGGTGAACGGACATTTAACTTTGGCACTGTTACCACTCAGCTACTGGGTGATCCCTGGAGAACAACAGGGTGCTCCGAACAAGCAACGCCCGTACTGCAAAACCGCCATCCCAGCTGGCAGTCCCAGGAGGGACAAAGCATGTGCAGGAATAAACTGGTGCCCGAGAGTTTAGCGTGCTGACAAAGCCAACCAGCCAGCACTGCACGCGCCTCGCAGCTCGGGTATGAGCTGTTAGATGTTTTCAGGAAAAGAAAGAAATACGTTGGGAAGAAAACTACGCAGATGCAACTTGTTTGAGTCAACTCAGTCTTCTATAGTTTTATTATTTCTAACAGATAAATAAAAAATTCCTTTTACTAGGACAAACTAATATTCATGTGGAGAAAACACTCAGTATTATCAACTAATTAACATCCCCCTAAGTTTTCACTGTTAAATAAAAAATACTAAATTAGTTTTTGTATTTACTTCACCTGTTAATGTAATTAATATATGAAAGGAATTATTTCCACAGAGAAAATGAACATTTATGCATGAATGATCATTCTTTGGCTGCAGAATCACCTAATTTTCCTTGCTCAAAGAGTAAGGCCAACTTTAGACTATGCTCTTGATGCTTTATGAGCAACAACCTTGCTTTTAAAGAAGTTCAAAATGGATTTCAGCATACCATTATTCTAATTATTTATGTTAAGTTGAGCAAGATAGGCTTTATAGAAGAAACTGGCTTTCTTAACTGACAAAAACCCCACACAAAACCAGCAGCATATGCTAGTTTATTCATTCTTCAAGGCACCCTACACCTCTTCAGTAAAACTATATGCATCTCCTAATTGTTATAATTACAATGACCTGAGTTTTTCTGACATTAGTTTTCCTGTTTCTCTAATTTACATTGGCAGGAGTGACTGAAGATTTCAAACTTCTGGACTTAAATGGTAACAATAAAAAAAACCCCCAAGTTCTTCAACTTTCTTACACACTTACCAATGGAATTGTTGACTTTGTCCCCTTTTTTCTTCTTGTTTTTCTTATTCTTGCCTTTTGGTTGAGGAGAATCTGCAAGTATTAGCTTATTATTTTGTTGCTGTTCACTTGGTGAAGGGGATTCACTTGTTACGGGTGCTTTCTCTTCCTTTACATGGTTCAACTGTTTTTTGTTGTTATTGTTTAATTTCTTCTCCTCTTTTTTAGGTTCTGCAAGCGTTGGGAGCTCTGCTGCTTTTGCTTTGGATTCTATTTGGTTTCTGGTTTTAGTCTGCATCTCAGCTGCTTTGGGAGATTCAACAGGCTTTTTCACTTGTTCAGCACACGGTTTGTTTATCTGCTTTAGTTTCTGTTTGCTGTTTCCTTCTTTATGTTGATGCATAATATCAAGCAGAAAAGAGAGGGGCTCATGCTGCTTTACACTCCCCTCTTTCTGATAAAGCAGCTTTGAGTCTCTAGTGTTCACAGGATTGGATAGTTCACAGCCTGTCTCTGAAACCGGCCTCTGTTCTGTGTGATTCACATGTCTTGACAGTGAACCGGAGGAGGTTTGTATCTTTTCTGACTGCTCAAGTGTACCATTCTGAATGTCTTCGGGCACGTTTGGGACAGATTCCTTCACTGCCTGGCAGTTTTGAGTAAGCATGTCCACCTTCTGACAGTCTTTACTTGTTCGTTCTTTCTTCTTTTTCTTTACAGCCCGCAACTGCTGAAGTTCTTGAAGCCGCTGTAATTCTTGTTTCAGCCTCTCTTCTTCTTCTTCCTCTCGCCGTCTCTGTTCCTCAAGCAACTGGTGATGCTCCCTCTCCCTGGCTTCAGCTTCAAGTCGAGCTTTTTCTTCAAGCTACAAAATAACAACAGATTTATTGAAAGTGACAAATATTTTGGAAATTGGAGTTTTAGCGATTATTACTACTTTCCTCTATGAATGTTATAAATCCTAGGATGTTAACATATGAACATACTTAATCCAGAAGTCTGCACAGGAAGCAAATAACTATTTATACAAAAGCTGCCCTTTAAAGTAACATTAAAATCCTTTCTATATTTCTATTTTCTATGTGTCTGTAACATATCTGACTGTTGTTAAAACTTAGCTACTGCTAAGCCTAACTCCATATCAAAGCTTTCTGCAACTGCAAAAACCTGCTGAAAACAAAACTTTCAGCTTCATCCTT